AGGCACAAACTTCTATCTCCCATCTCTCTCTTTCTAAAAATATAGCGGCACTTGTTGTGTTACATTTTTGCGGCTTTAGTCTAAGGACATTCTGGTTGCCTGTTTTTGTGGTTTTATGTTTAAAACTTACTCATTGTGAGAATGTTTTTTATTGACATCATGAAGACGAGACCAAACATAGGATCACGTTTTATTTTTTTTTGAGGCCTTCGTTGATCCAAGCCTTTTGTCTGATAAGCCTGGTCTATTGTTTCAGCTGTCTTTCTTCTGTTTGTATGTTGATTAGGTATTGTCTGCCGCAGCAGCTGTTGGTGTGTCAGTAGCTTTTGGAGCACCGATTGGTGGAGTTCTGTTCAGTCTGGAAGAGGCAAGCATATTCTTATCATACAGTACTTATGATTTCATACACTCAACATTATCTAGTGTCATTTTAATAAGTAGAATCACTCTCACTTTATCCTATAGGTGAGTTATTATTTCCCTCTGAAGACGCTGTGGCGCTCTTTCTTTGCTGCGTTGGTGGCGGCCTTCACCCTTCGGTCCATCAACCCGTTTGGTAACAGCAGGCTGGTGCTCTTCTACGTGGAGTTCCACTCCCCTTGGCACTTGCTGGAGCTCATACCCTTTGTCCTATTGGGTATTTTCGGGGGAATCTGGGGAGCTTTCTTCATCCGTGCAAACATTGCATGGTGTCGTCGGCGTAAGACCACGTGGCTGGGTCACTACCCTGTTTTGGAGGTGCTGGTTGTTACGGCGGTTACGGCTCTGCTGGCGTTCCCCAACAGCTACACGCGAATGAGCACCAGCGAGCTGATCTCTGAGCTGTTCAATGATTGTGGTCTGCTGGATTCCTCACAGCTGTGTAATTATGCCAATGTGAGCGTCACCAAGAGCAGCAGTGATGCTCTGCCTGATAGACCAGCAGGACAAGATGTGTACACCGCCATGTGGCAGCTCTCACTGGCCCTGGTCTTCAAGATGCTCATCACAGTGGTGACCTTCGGCATGAAGGTACAGGGTCAAAGCCCCATATTATCTTCCTTTCTTTAATCCAGTCTTTCTTTCTTTCCTCTATCCACTCATCCTCCCTTCTTTTCTGTCTTCCATCAATCCATCCATCCTTCCTTTCTTTCTTTATTGCAGCCATCCATCCTCCCCTCCCTGCATCTATTCATGCTTCCATCCCTTCTTTCCATCTGTCCATCCATTCTATCTTCCTTTATCCCATCCATTCCTCCCTCCACCATCCATCTATCATATATTCCTTTTTTCCATCATCCATCTTTTCTTCCATTTCTCTATCTATCCAATCATTTTATGTTCCTTTCTTCCATCCATCCATCCTCCCCTCCCTGCATCAATCCATACTTCCATCCTTCTTTTTATCTGTCCATCCATCATCCTTCCATCCATCCAGCTATTCTATCTTCCTTTATTCCATCCATTCATCCCTCCACCATCCCTCTACCATATATTCCTTTTTCCATCCATCCATGCTTTCTTCCAGTTCTTCCATCCATTTTCAACTCAACTTACATTTACTGTCAAAATGTCATGCATTTCTTTCTTTCTTTGTCTTTCTTTTTTCCATTCTTCCTTCCATCATCGATTCTATTTTATCTTCTTTCATTGTCCATTCTACCTTCCTTTCTTCCTTCAATTTATCTATTCATCCTTTTTTTCCATCAATCCATTCTATCTTCCTTTATTCAATCATCCATCCATCCATCCTTTTTGTTATTTTCGTCCATAAATACATAAATCCATCCCATGTTCTTTTTTCCTTTCAATCTTCCGTTCATCATCCATCCATTCATCCACTTTTCTTTCTTTCTTTCTTTCTTTCTTTCTTTCAGTCATCCATATCTTCTTTTCATCCTTAAATCCATTCATCCATCCATCTCTCTATTTCTGTTTGTCTTTTTTCCATTCTGCCTTCCTTTCATCATGCATCATTCTTCATCACCATGTTCATTTGGCATCCACCCTTTCTTTCTTTCTTTCTTTCTTTCTTTTCCATTATTTTTTTCTTTTCATCATCAGTCCCTTCATTCATCCATTCTATCTTCCTTTCTTCCATCTATCAATACATTCTATCTGACATTCTGTCCATTCTATCTGACTTTTCCATCCCTCTCTCCATCTTAGAAAGACACAATTTCTTGACAAAATCTTGACACATTTTCTTTTTTAAAGAATTTAGTGTTTACCACTAGTGTTTGCCATTTTCTGAACTGTTGTGTCCTGTGTGTTCCTCCAGGTGCCCTCTGGCCTCTTCATCCCCAGTATGGCTGTGGGAGCAATTGCAGGTAGGCTGCTTGGTGTGGGTATGGAACAACTGGCATATTACCATCATGACTGGGTAATCTTCAGAGGCTGGTGCTCACCTGGAGCGGACTGCATCACCCCCGGCCTCTATGCCATGGTGGGCGCCACCGCCTGTCTGGGTAAGAGTCTATTCAAACTGTCTACTATTATAAATGTGTCATTACTGGCTTGTCCAGATACTTTTATCCAGGCCTGTCTTACTTTCTTAGGCGGTGTAACTCGTATGACAGTCTCTCTGGTGGTCATTATGTTTGAGCTAACGGGCGGCCTGGAATACATTGTGCCTCTCATGGCTGCCACCATGACTAGTAAATGGGTGGCAGATGCTCTGGGTCGAGAAGGTATTTATGAGGCTCACATCCGTCTCAATGGTTACCCCTTCCTGGAGCCTAAGGAGGAGTTCAGCCACAAGACGCTGGCCATGGACGTGATGCGACCCCGCCGTAGTGACCCCCCGCTCTCCGTGATCACGCAGGATGGGATGAGCGTGGAGGAAGTCGAGTCGCTCATTGCTGAAACCTCATACAGCGGTTTCCCTGTGGTGGTCTCACATGAGTCTCAGAGACTTGTGGGCTTTGTGCAGCGCAGGGATCTGGTCATCTCTATTGGTAAGAGAACACAACTCTAGGTGGACTTTTTTATGTGCATCTTTCTTAGATCTTGGACTATGATTGCTGCTGATGAACATCTTGGTGGACTGAAGAAGTAGCTCAGCCAAAAATGAAAATTCTGACCATGTCATTTCAAATCTGCATGATTTACATACAATAAAAGTTAATGGAGTTCAAAGGTCATTTGGACCCCATTGACTTTCATTGTATGGACAAAGAAGTTTAAACATTCCTTCTTATAGGGATCATGTGAATTATACTGTAGGTCAATCATGAGAAGGTTTATTATTCTCTGTTTCCCTCTGGCAGAAAATGCTCGTCAGCGTCAGGAAGGTGTGGTTAGTGCCTCCCGAATCTTCTTCACTGAATACACACCTCCACAGCCACCCAACAGTCCTCCTCCACTGAAGCTTCGTGGTATCATGGATCTCAGCCCATTTACTGTTACCGACCACACTGCCATGGACATTGTGGTGGACATCTTCCGCAAGCTGGGTCTGCGCCAGTGTCTCGTCACTCACAATGGGTAAAACCTTGGTTTGCTTAGCTTAGCCTGTCAGTTTCAAAATGTTCTCCACTAATATTATTGGTTTTGTCCATCGTTTACATATGTCAGAATTATTACACATCACATATATTTGGATAAGCTCAATATAATCTTGTTCCTGTTTTTCCACAGGCGTTTACTAGGCATCATCACCAAAAAGGACATTCTGAAACATATGGCCCAGATGGCCAACCGAGACCCTGACTCTATTCTCTTCAACTGAAGTGCCAAACTGGCTGTTAGGAAACACCAGTCAGTTTGAAACCACCCATTGGGCAGAAAACACCAGTCTGGCCAAATGATTTGCACTACAGAACTGTCAGTACTGGGTTAGCGTCCATTCACACTGTGAATCCATTTGTAGAGCCTCATTGGCGCAGGCGCTACAACTGCAGGATGGAGGACCTTCAGCAGCGTTCTATGCACTCTGGCAACTAGCTTAAAGGTGGGATTGAGTGCAACCAAGTGTTGGTGTTTGCAGGTAGTCAACCTATCATAACATATCAATGCATCAAAACATATCACAATATATACCACACAAGCAAAACTCTAACATTTTGTAGCATAAATCTAAATATAGACATTCACGTACCCGGCCTCTGTTGGATCGTGTTACTCAAACCCAAAACACCTCTGGTGAAAAGACCACATTCTCATCTTTCAGATTTTAAGAGACATTCTTGTGTATGTCAAGAGGAAGTCACAAGCAATCGGTAGCAGATGTGCATTGCATATTTCCCTAGAGTTCTCCTGCCTTCCACTACAGAATGGATGTTAATCACAAGTTAAAACCATTATTTGTTGTTTACATGTTCATTTTTAGTCTTTTTTTATTTTTACTCTGTTTAAATGAGCACTTGCAAGTATTCCAGCATCTGAAAGCTCACGGGTGAGCTTATTGTTATTATTAATGTTATTTTGTTTTAGCTGAATCTTAACGCTTAACTTTGAGTCATTTATGAGTCTGATGATTTACAGTTTCCTCATTTTGTCACGTCTATAACACGTTTCCATACTTGTAATCAGTCATAAGCAGCACTGTGTAGTTTGTTTCTGCCAAGAAATGACACTTTAAAAGACTCACTCTATAGATTTATCAGATTACATGCACTTTTTAAAATTACAACTTCATTTTTACACTACCATTCAAAAGTTTGGGGTCAGTAACATTTATGTTTATAGAATAAGTCTCTTAAGCTCACCAAGGCTGCATTTATTTGATCAAAAACATAGTAAGACGAATATTTTGAAGTAATATTAGAATTGAAAATAATTTTCATGTATTTAAAAATGTAATTCACTCTTGTGATGGCAAAGCTGAATTTTCAGCATCATTACTCCAGTCTTCAGTGTCACATGAACCTTCAGAAATCATTCTAATATGCTGATTTGCTGCTTAAGAAACATTTCTCTTTTCAGGTTTGATTGTTGAATATGAAGTTCAAAAGAACTGCATTTATTTGAAATAGAAATAAGATCATAAATGTCTTTTCTGTCACTTTTGATCAATTTAATGCATCCTTGCTGAATAAAAGTATTAGTTTCTTAAAAGAAAATCTTACTAACCCGAAACCTTTGATCAGTACACTGTGGTTCTCAAATGTTTTAATACCAGTTAAAACTACACATTATGTAGCATTTCTCTATGCAAGTTAGGTTGGCATTATTTTTGGCCAATATGTATGTGCAATCAATGCTAAAATGGCATTACATTATACCGTTAATATAAGTCAGATTTTACCTTTTAATTCTCTTATCACAATCTCGAATTATTCTATAATTACATTTTTTTTCTGAAGCTTGGCTGAATGGTACGCAAGTTTTCTCCATTAACAAATGCTGCTTGTATGCATTGCCTGTACCATTTATATTCCTATCACATGCATGTCCAAATGTAACCTCAGCATGCAATATGTAGTCATCTGAATCGTGTAATTTTATTATACGCTTATCAACCCAGATGTTTCCATTTTAGTGTTTAAGCCTGCATCCGTTTGGCTCAATCTTTTTTTAATAATTTGCATTTCTCTGCTAGCATACCACACCACTTTTATGTTTATGAAACTCACACATTGGGACACAGAGTGAATGCTAAGATCTTTGTAAGCAGTGCTTAAAACACTCAAGTGGCACATTAGCTTGGTTGGTTCTCAGTCCTTAGCTAACTTTCACAGTATTTCCTTTTTTTTGTTTTTTTTTGTCAAAATGTCACTCATTTTGATAAATAAAGGGCCACTTAATTAAGAACATCCATACTAATTATTTGTAATGGTTGGGTGCAGTAATTTTTTGGGTTCTTTATACTCATTGTTTAAATTGTGTAAACTTGTTTTTTATGTCAGCATTATCCTTTAGTGTTAAATATGAATGTCTCATTATCATTGTAATTTATTTGTAAGCACTACATGAAATATAATAACATGTAACATGCTCTTTAGTGTTTCTTTCCAGTGTGATATTTGGTGATTAATGTTGTTCCTCATGTTTCTCAAAATTATTTCAAGATGTCTGTCTGTCCTGGAGCTTCAGGAAAATTGCTGTAACAGGAAAAAGGCATTCTTTTGAAAAATGTTAGTTTAACTTTGGATTGTTTTGATAAATTTGAGTCATGCAAAGTCTCACTCTTCATCTAACCCTATTTTTGGCTCTAGGTTATTTGCTAGATTTTACTTCAGACATCAGTGAATGACACAGGTTTGACTCATAATGCAGTATGTTGTGGCATAGTGCTTCCCAACAAAACAACTTCCTTTAATTAACTGGAGACTTCAAGTCCATGATTGGTCACACTGCCCAAGACAGTCTTTTTAAGGAAAGAATGAACAATATAAACAGTATAACATCAAAAGAAAGTGGGACACTATTAATCTGGCATGGTTTGCGTGCACAAATAGCAGCTTGCACAAAGTTTTGAGCATTTGTTGAAGGTGAAAGTCTTAATTTTAAGGAATTAGTTTGGCTTCTATGTGGTTAAATAGTCAAGGTCACTGTCCTCATTTTCAGAAATGTCTTTACAAAGCCCTCACAGATATGCTCATGATCTGCCCATTCAGATGGGAGTCCAGAGTTTCTCACTCTACTGAACCTTAAAATTCAGCCTAAGAATGTCAAATGGTCCTCAGACCACAATAACTAGATGGTTTTCTGAGATGTTTGGTCTTTTGAACCCCTCAGATGCTGGAGTATCTGTGCTTCCCTCTCTTTACGGTTCCCATGTTGGGCCTTCCGACAGGAACAATTTCCTTTCCCTTAGAATGAGACCACAAGCCCCAACTGCGTCCCTCAGAGGTCAAACAGGAAGGCCCCAAAGTAGCTGGAGGAGTCTTCTGCATACACAGCTGTGGGAGAAGACACGGAGATGAAGATCTCGTCGCCTGCGCGAAGTTCAAACAGGCCCCCCTGGTAGATGGAGTGAAGGGCGTTCTCGCTGTCTGGAGACCAACATTTGGTGCCCACACCCTTCAGGAGCTGAATAGGGCGAGCGTAGGCGGTCTTCTTGTAGACGCACTGCACCACCTGGTGGCTGTCGGAGCCCGAGTGGTAATCGTCGATGGAGAGGGTGAGATAACGGAAGTAGACTTGGGCGTACAGGTAGTAGCGGCCTGCGCGAGGGATACGCAGGCGTCCGTTGGACACGGTCATGTTGTGCAGGTGGGAGCCGAAACTCTGGTTCCCCCAGGAACGAACGGGATGGCGACAGGACTGGTGAAGGTCAGTCTGAGGGGTTAAGGATGTCGTACCTGGTATAACAAGGAAGGTGCAACAAAACTTGGATCACCTCAGTGTACAGCAGCAGTTCTGCTTCAGCACTGCTCCAACACTTCTCCATATCATTAATTAATGTGAACCTGTAATCCTTAAAGGGTTAGTTCACCCAAAAATGAAAATTCTGTCATTAATTACTCCCCCTCATGTCGTTCCAGATCTTCGTTCATCTTCGGAACATAAATTAAGATATTTTTGATAACATCTGAGATCTCTCTGACCCTCCATAGACAGCAACGCAACTGCAATGTTCCCAGGTCCAGAAACGTAGTAAGGACATTGGTGGTTCAACCATAATTTTACGAAGCAACGAGAATACTTTTTGTGCACAAAGAAAACAATAATAACATAATTTATTCAACAGTTCTTCTCCCCGATTTACCGTCTTCCGCCATTTTGAAGAGCACCACAGAATGTAATCAACGTATTCAGCGTTGTTTGCGTTCAGCATGCGCACGCTGTCTACTGAGCGTAAACAACGCTGACTACATTGATTACGTTCTGGGGTTCTCTCCAAAATGTGGAAGACAGTAAATCGGGGAGAAGAATTGTTGAATAAATCATGTTATTATTGTTTTCTTTGCACACAAAAGGTATTCTCGTAGCTTCGTAAAATTACGGTTGAACCCCTGATGTCACATGGACTATTTTACCGATGTCCTTACTACGTTTCTGGACCTGGGAACATATCAGTTGCATTGTTGTCTACAGAGAGCTCTCAGATTTTATCAAAAATATCTTAATTTGTATTCCGAAGATAAACGAAGGTCATACGGGTTTGGAATGACATGAGGGTGAGTAATTAATGACAGAATTTTCATTTTTGAGTGAACTAACCCTTTAAATCGATTTTCAGGTTAATTCTGAGGAATTGTTGCCATTTGTGTCCCCATGACTTCCTACTGATTTACTGCAATAAACGTTCATTTTTAATTAGTAATGCAAAAAAACTTTTCAAATGGAAAAAAGGAAAATAAATTAGATTAAAATACCAATGTTTATTATTATTATTGTAAATAATTACTCTTAATAGTAATAATAAAAATAATTATAAAATTAAACCAATTTAAAAATAAAATTAATTTTAAAAATCGTATTCATATTATGAATAATAATAATAATTATTATAAATTCATTAAATTAAATTGTAAAGTATTGTTCGTTCATTACAAAACAACGGGCCAAGAATGCTGCACTGGTCTCTTCACGTAATTACTGGTGCTCTTGGATTTTTGGAGGTGAATCTCAAACTGAGGAGATGAAATACTCCAAGGCACTCGTATAGTAAAAATAAAAAGCCTTTAATTAACTGGGCTAAGTCATTAAAACAGTTAAATGTGTAGATCTACGCATTTCAGCTACACAGCCTTCTTCAGGATATTGTTAGTTCATGTTAACTAATGTAGGTCACTAATGCTAACACATCACACCTTATTGTAAAGTGTTACCAATAAATGTTATGGTATTATTTTAGTTTACCTTTATTGTTAAACTATGCAAACCTTGTTTTTCCATGACAAAACATGGTCCATTAACTCTTTCACATGGCACTTTTTTGGGAATGTGGGAATGTCTACTGCAATTTGTTTGTGACCACAAAGTATTTGTTGAACTAGTTTTTTTGCTTTTTTTTTCATGTGAGATATCAGTTCAGTAAACAGTCAGAAATGTTTTGTTATGTTACTGAATTCCTAATGAAGTGGTTGTTTCCAGAAGGACAAGAGAGCTGTAGAAACGTAAAGGAAACGTTTTTTTTTTGCTGACATGAGTACAGGCTTCTGTAATACACACACCCAAACATGCTGGCAAACTCACCCTGCAGTCCACTGTCTCTGAGAGTAAGATGAGCTGACGGCCGTGGGCTGCCAGTGGTGAGTAATTTTGTACGTGGAGGAATAGCGACTCTTTCTGCGAAACACAGTAAAGAACAAAGAGTCAACAAGTCAACAAAGCAAAAAAAGAAATATAATTTCAAGTCGTTTAAAAATATAGATGTACTAAATTTTAAAAGAGACTGTAGGTTAGTTCAGGTAACGGCAGAAAGATTTTCTCCAATTGAAGAGGACGAAACACTTGAATTCCTGTGGTTTTAGGTTACCTTGAAAGGTGTGTTTCGAGATTACGTTTTCTGTGACCTAAAAGAGAGCAAAAAAATGAATGTACTCAGATTTGTGAGAAAATACAGAAAACAAAGGACATGTTTATACATATATTTCTGCCAATTATAGGGTGCTACTAAAGTGTGCACTCCTGATTTGGTGTTACACATTTGAAACATAACATCACTAAGACATTTTCCACATTCAAGTCCATGTAAGAAAGATCCAATCCAACCTCTTTTCTGGAACACCAGAGCGGCACAAAAACATTTAAGCCACAATTGAGAGAGAATAGGCTTCATTACATTAGATTTATTTGGAGCATTTTTTAGTGCAACAGGCCAAATCAAGTATTTATTATATCCATCAGCCTGCAGATTTGACAGTTGTCTTGGACTCACATCTAGTGGTGTGGATGTAGCATTATGCAAAAGCAAAAAAAAAATAATTCAGCTACTGTAGAAATGCCTACTCACAGTCAGCCATGACTAATTTATTCAGTGAGCTATATAGTGCCCAATACTAGAGAGATTATAGAGATGAATAGTGAATAGTATTTTTCTGCTCATGTGATCTCAGTATGGCTGGGGATGTGCTCTGTGTAAAATAAAACACCTTTTATTAGGTTTCTGATATGACTGGTTTTAATGGTTTTAAACCTTTTTCAAACATACTATTAATTCTTAGCATTTTTGAGTAAAAATTACTAAATACACATTCCAAAAATGTACTAATGAGGGACCAGAAATCTGTTGTATGTAACCTAGTTTCCAGAGGAAGAAAATGCTGAATGTTTTTGTGTGTTGAAGGTTTCCAGTGCTTTGTGGTTTTCTGCAGCTAGTCTCCCACTGGTTATGTGCATATCCAAAGGGCACCAGGTCCAAATGCCATGAGAAATGCCATAAACAGACTAATTGCCATCACTTGTGAGATAAAAAGCACATGCTTTTGCTGTACTTGCATATTTATAAAAAATATGGCATGTCTTTACCTTGGAGATGTAGGCTTTGAGTCCTTCGGCCAGTTTAATGCATGGCTCACCAAAGAGCTGGACCAGGTCATCAGGTACATCCTGTTCTATCTCCAGAGCGTTCAGAAGACCCAAGCACCTCAGCTCCTCCACCACACCTTGTGTCCGAGCCTGTCAATGACACATTCACCAGTCCACTTAAAAATGTTTAAACATGATGAAACATCCTAAAAGGCTTTGTTTTTCAGGAATACATGACAGAACTTTCTTAAAGGGGTCATATGGTGTTGCTAAAAAGAACATTATTTTGTGTATTTGGTGTAATGAAATGTGTTTATGCAGTTTAAGGTAAAAAAAACACATTCTTTTCCAAATACTGTACATTATTGTTTCTCCTCTATGCCCCGCCTTTCTGAAACGCGTCGATTTTTACAAAGCT